ATTAATATGACTGGTGAAATACTATGTATATTTTTATTCTGTCTTGTGATGAAATTGGCAATGTGAATGGGAGATTCTAGCTGTTATCAATCACAGTTTGAGCCAGGAAGAAAACTGCAGTTTTGACTGCATCCAGCTAAATAATAAAATTGTGCCCTAGGATTTTAATAATTATTAATTGAATGCAAAAACTCACTAACTCATTGAAAAATTTCAAGACACTTTGAGGTAGTGTTGCATTTATACATGGTGGTGTATGAGTTCATTCGTCCCAGATTTAGCCCTGAAAAAAATTTGTACCTTACTGTTGAGCCAACTAAATATAGTGGGCATAAGGGGAAAACCTGATCTAGAAGGAAAACCAAGTCCATACAATTTTTGAGCAAGATCCTATCAAGGAATACCCTAAACACAAATGTGTAGGCTTCCAAAAAATTCTTTTGCATATACCACTCATTATAATTTTTATTATACATGGAGAACACTGGTTATCGGATGATCAATAGTGATCCGTAAAAATTAAAGTATTACCCTCCATTTTTAGCTTTTCTCAGGAATTACCTTTTTCTCCAGAGCATGTTTCAAGAATCCCATTAGGAACTGAATTTTCCTTGACTATAGATTCACCCAGTTTTTCAGTCAAATGTCTAATAGATGGATATAATGTTTTCGAACATGAGTAGTAGTTATAATATCTTTCGTGTTACCTGCAGAATAACTTTTTATGTGATTCAGGGACTGTTGACGGAGGCTCGCGATAACATTGATCCTGATGCCCGTCCATTTGCTAGGAATGTCAAAGAAAGTGAACGGCAAGGACTGAGGGAAGGGGCTAAGCTTGTGGAAGTGGTCAGTAACCTTTGTAACCTTATAAAGCCTATGGAAAATTGAATTCCTTAACTATGTGATGTATGAAAGGGTATTTTATAACACACCAAAGAAGAATATGTGTTACATTGGGTGTATTCTCACTATAATTAGGCATAGGATTTCAGTAGTTGCAGTTCCCAAGCTAGTTAACTAGAGCTGTTGCCTTCTTTGAATTCTATGCCTGATTGTTAATATATTTGTATCCTGTAAGTTGAAGGAGCTACACTTCATGAAAAAACCATTTTGATTTTGTTATCTTTTGCTGTTTTGGCAATTATTTGGTGAACCTTAACAGTAATTTAACCATTTACTGAATTCATGAGAATGGAGGCACAAAAATTGGATGCCTATTCACATGGAACATCTATTAAAATTCCGTGTTCTTCAAACCTACATAATTATGTAGAATGATTGAAATCCACTTCAAGTCTTCAACCCCAAAGTGTCATGAAAAGCTGATTTCCTAATAAAGGATTGTAATATGAGCTGTTGTTGGTCAATTTTCCCCCTTCTGAACAGATAAACTTTTAATTTCAGTGTGTGGACAACAATTTTCTTTGACCTTTGAAATTGCTTCTTTTTTAGCTTCTCATTTGAGTGATAAATATTAGACAATTCTAATACAATAGAAGTTCCTTAAAGATCTTTTCTTATCTGTTTCTTTGGGTACGACTTGACATATTATTCATTCTTTATTACTTTTGGTGATTATTGTCATTATGGTATGTGTGATCACCAGTTTGGTTTACATCTAATCAGGTGCAGCAAGTAAAGCCTGATGTGCTTCTTGGTTTATCAGCTGTTGGAGGCCTGTTCTCTAAAGAGGTAATAATACATATCTTGTTTTCTTTTGGGTTGTAACAATTTTCCCCTTGAGCCCTTTCTATCTCTTAAATGAAGTCATAGAATGGCCTTCTTCTTTTTTCACCTAAGTGATTTCATGACTTCACAGTTTCTTTCATTATCAATACCAGTAGTAGCATAGCAGTTGTAATTTTCTGTTGAACTGCTTTCCCATTGTCAGGTGTTAGAAGCTCTAAAAAGTTCAACTTCTACCAGACCAGCAATTTTTCCGATGTCAAACCCTACAAAAAATGGTAATTTGCATGTACTTTTTAAATATTTTAATTATCATTTTGTTTTGTATTTTGTTGAAAAATGTCTGTAATTGTTTTAGCTGAGTGCACCCCTGAGGAAGCATTTTCCATAGTTGGTGATAACATCATATTTGGAAGTGGAAGCCCATTTGCCAATGTTGATCTCGGTATGTCACATTCGTGATTAATCCATTGCTTGTCATCATTTTCCTTGTGCAATTTTCTTGTCACTCACTCACTTGCGCACTGTACACACACCCATGCATGTCTTATGCATTGTTGAAGCATATGGAACAATCAACTAATAAGGGGTTGCACAGAAAGAATCACATGGACTCTAGTAGTGATGCTTATATCTCCTGTATAGATCTCTAGGATGTTGGGCTTCGGCTCTTTGTCAGCATTTAGTGTCATGCAGAGTTTTCAGTTAACTGGCTTCTATGTCTAAGTCCTCTCTATTCTCAATATGTTTGCTTGAATGGCTTCAGTAAAGTTTGCCACTCGTATGGTTTATGATCCTGAGGCATGATGTGTAGGCTGGAAGTTGTTTTGAATGTAAGATGTCTATAAGGAAGCCATGTTTGGCAAGTCGGCGTGTTTTGTGAATATGAGAATATGATTTATGTATTGTTTGGGTGCAAACTGTATATCAATGAAAAAATTATAAGAAAAGATAATTTTTAGATTATTCATGTGCCTTCACATGCCAAATTATATATGTTAGTGAGTACATATATCCATGAGATATACGTGCATGCAGGTTTCTATGTGCGTCCATTTCAATTAACGTATGGTTGAGTTGAAGTTACTTACACAAAAATACATTCTTAATATGCTCATATTTCAATGTTTGCGTCCTCTGCTTCATGAATTTTTTCCTTGAACGGAACAATGGGAAATATTATATTTTTCCCTGTAAATATCATTCACAAAAACCACCGGGAATGCCTAGCATGTTGTCTGCTGAGAAACAACGATTCTGAGGATTGACTCAATAATTTTGCTGTCTATGTTCTGCTAATTTCTGGCATACCTTAACTGCAATTAATATGTAACAGGAAATGGTCACATTGGCCACTGCAACCAGGCAAACAACATGTTCCTTTTTCCTGGGTTAGACACTCAACTTGTAATCTATACTGTAGAACCTATCTAGTTAGTCTTTCCCTTTTCTTACTTTTTTTCTGAATGTTGCTCGTAAATCATGTAGGATTGGGCTTGGGACGCTTCTATCTGGATCTAGGATAGTCTCAGACGGAATGTTACAGGCAGCAGCCGAATGGTACTTCATGGATTTTGACTTCTAAATTGAATTTAATTAAAATAGACTTTTGAACACTATATCTGGTCATTTATGTCATAGTCATTATGTCGGGGCCAACCGTTGACTTGGCCGAAAGACCAGGTGACTGATTCAATGGGCAAGTTATTGGTTCAACTAGTGAGTTATTAGTCAGACAGTAAATCTGGATAAATATACTTTTAAACAGAAAAGTAACACACGAGAGAGCATTCATTCACATGACTCGTAAAAGTATGTTTATATTGATGTACTGTAACTAGAAAGTGCTCCTGTAGCCATTGTTTCTACTATGGTAGTCATTCACTAACGATCATTTGATAATTACAGCCTAGCTTCGTATATGACTGAGGAGGAGGTGCTTAAAGGGATTATATACCCTTCAATATCCAGGTATTAGTCTTCGGGGGAACAACTGAGTTTTTACCCTGAGATATTTTTATCTTATTCTTTCAACTGTCAATTCTTGTCTTAATAATAAAAAAATGTAATCAGAATACGTGACATAACAAAGGAGGTAGCTGCGTCTGTCATTAAGGAAGCTATAGAAGAAGACCTGGCAGAAGGGTACCGTGAGATGGATGGTCGAGAGTTACGGAAACTTAATGAGGTATGTTTTATTGTTGCAAAATGGTATATGAAATTTCAAAATCTGTCTAATTCGTTGGTTACAAGAAAATGACCTTTTTATACATATTGAGATTCTTTAAATCATCTTATCTTTAATTGGTGATTTCGTAGATCTTCTCAGTATCTAATTTTCTGTAGTTCAAAAGTTTACGGCAGACATTTTCATTGGAATAATTATCAATATTTGCAGGAGGAAATCAAGAATTTTGTGATGAACAATATGTGGATTCCTGAGTACCCAACATTGGTTTACAAGAAGGACTGATGGAACTCTTTTCCTCTCGTGAGTCTTCTTTCTTCTCATCGTTTTTATTGCAGATATGGTAGCTCAAATATTGCCGCCATCAACATAAAGGAAACAACCAGGGTATGGTACTACCACTCACCTGTCGTCTTTTTGGCCTATACTTGTCCAATACTGATCTGTTGATAATTAAATCTTCAATTAAGGTTTCAAATTTCAGATTCATTGCTTGCTTTGTGAAAGTACGTCTCAGTTTATTTCCGTGTACATTGTTTGAATATGCAATGGTGAGGGTTTGATACTAGGGAAGTTGGTATCTCGATGGAATTATTTCGTCCCTAGACATTGTTAACCTTTTTTGAGTCGTGAAATTTTCTTCTTGGCTTTGTTTCAAAGGTTCGCTTTCCTGATCTGTGCAAGTAACAGTCAGGATTCCGATCCAGCTTCTCTCTACACAAAATATATTTGCCATATAGTTAAAAACTTAAAATCTGTTAAATTTTACTGAATATCGAAGAGTGAGAGGGGGTTGATTGATAAAGAAATCTTCCCCTACAAAGTACGATGCTGTAAGTATCTCAACCGTTTTAAATTTGACGAAGAAATTCATTCTCTTGTATTAAGTTTTTGCACATGGTGATCATTACTCATTGGTTGTGGGGTGTTAGGACGTGATAGTAATTTAAAGTATTTTATTTTGTTTATTAATAAACAAAAATTATTTATTTGAAGTAATTATTCATTGCATATGGCACTTGGGTATGATAAATAAAGGGAAGGCGTAGGCATTGAATGGTGAAGGGAGACGGCTCAGCAGGGAAGGACTAGTAATTGAATTAGGTTCTTCAATCGCTTTGCGATAATATAAATTAATATTTTGAGTAGAGAAGTACATAAGATATAACCTATATTTCGATCAAAGAGCAATTTGTCGGTTTATAGAGGTGATACTTTATCTAGATTGAAGGGTTAGTTACTCTAGTAATTGGAATAGGCGATTTGTCTTGATCATGGCGATTGTTCGTTTGAGAGTGATGATACATCTGGTGGATACTGTGTTGTATTGACTCTAAGTTTAGTCCCAATTAAATTAAATTTTATTTTTCTCTCTTCTATTTTGAATCACGCAATTTTTCATAAAATAATATTACATGTAAATTGAAATTTTTTCATTCTTTTTCAACCATTCATTCTTCAAAAAATTACTATTCAACTCATTTTAATTTGAAAAAATGGGGGTCAAAGCCTGTTTGAGTAACGGGAATAACCTACACTTCTATATAATTATTGACCGTCCAAATCACATTTATCCTAAGAGTCTATTTGAGCCTCTTTGGCTAAGAATATATTTTGAAATAGTCATTGATTTAGAATACATGGTTAAAAAATAAAAAAAGTTTTACGTGTTATATTATTTTATTGAAGAACGTGTCGTTGAAAAGAAGGGAGAGAAAAATGTATGTTGAAAATTAGAGGGATTAAATCAAGAGCTAAATCCCAATGGTGAAATAAAATCAATTTTATTAAAAAAATATGACAATTATCCATTGTCACATAAATTGACATTACACAGTAATATTCGTCAAATTTTATTGAATTTGTGCAGCAATAGCCAAATAAGTCTTTGTTTGATTCTCATTAATATTAGATTTTAATGAGTTTGCAAAATTTTCAGCAATACGTTATCATGTAAATTTCTACAAGAAATGACATTAGACAGAAATTGTGATTCAGACGGGGCATCCGTTGAAATTGATTTTTACCTATTCTGCCCTCAACTTTCGAATTGAAATTACGAATCTAGCTCACAATCCATTCTCTCCATAATTAGCCCCACCTTTAATTAATTTACTTTAATTTATTTTTTATATTCATTTTCAACTACACATTCACATAATTAAATATTTTACACGTAAGTTTAATTTTTTTTTCTACCTTTTAACTACACATTCTCAAAAAGAAAAAAAAATATTTAAAACATTGTTTTTTCAAACTACAGGCTACCAAATGGGGTTTAACCCCAAATCTCTTTAAACAATGCATATTTAGGGGGTATATATATAGAATCAGAAATGAAACTAGAATAGGATGTAAACAAATCAAGTACAAAAAGTGCATTTTCTTGACATTTTTCAGCCATTTCAGGCCCTCATAATTTGAATTGAAAATGATTTTTTGTGAATTTTAATGGATCTCAAACAGTAGCTAAGTAACAACTTCAACAATCTAACTTTTTCCTTTTTATTCCCCTTATGTTGCCATTGTTTGTTTCTTATTATATTCAAAATATATTTTTCTCTCCTTTGTTTTTTTTTTTTTCAATCACACATTTTTCAATAAAATAATAGTACACGTAATTTTTTTTTTAACCATACATTCTCCATCATTCTATCATTTAAAAATGTATTCTACGAAAAAATTTGGGCTCAAACGCGTCCTAAATTCACAATGGCCACCCCATGCTATTATTTTGGAAGTATATGATCGATGTCAACTTGATCCACCGCAAACAGGGGCCAGCCGGTGCAACCCATAATTCAAAATTCAAAATTCAAAATTACAAAACGTTACTTTTAAATTTAAAAATAAAAAACAAAGACCAAAGGTACAACAGAACCAAACGGTCGATTTCCATGTAGAATCCGACCCAATTGATGCGGACCACTCAAAGTGCACACGATGATATTACTGCCATTTTCAACTTCGGTAAAAAAACCAGTCTGATTTCAACTCCTATTCTCTCTCTCTCGCTCTCTCACGCTACTCGTCCAGTTTAAATCCACTAATTCTTACCTTTTCACTTTTAAATCTTACTTTCACCAATTTTTTTTTAAAGAACTTTTGTTTTCTGATTCATGTGTGTTCGGAGCTGGAATTGATTCAAAGGCTTACAATTTAGGTCTCTATTATTAGTGTTAAAGAGAGGAAACAATTAAACTTATTCAAGAAGATGACGACTATGGAGAGTTTGATTGGACTGGTGAACAGGATCCAGAGGGCTTGCACTGCCCTAGGTGACTACGGCGGTGGCGAACAGGCTTTTTCATCTCTCTGGGACGCTCTTCCTTCCGTCGCTGTCGTTGGTGGCCAGGTCTGTATTTCTAATCATTATATTTTCATAATTTATTTATTTTTTGTTATTTCAAATATAGTTGAGCTGTTAAATGGGAAACTGGGTAAGGAAAATCTTGATTACTTTGGCTATATTTAGGGAAACTTGTTGATCCACTCAGATAAAAGAGAAAAAAAAAATGACTACTTTTTAGAGATTGAGAGGATAATTTAATTTATAATATGGGCGTTGGTAAGATTGTTATTAATTTATCTTTTTTCTTTTTGTATAATGAATTTGAACCGTGTCTTAATATTCTTGTGGGTTTTTCTGATTGTGATTTGAGCTCAAAACAGAGTTCAGGGAAGTCTTCTGTGTTGGAGAGCATAGTAGGACGAGATTTCCTTCCGCGGGGCTCTGGTTAGCCCCACTTTACTTTGATAAACTTGGAAATGATATTTGATTAATGCTGGCCGTTTGCAATAATTTACCCTTTTTATGTATCTTGAGTTTAGGTATTGTTACAAGGCGACCACTGGTGTTGCAACTTCACAAGACAGAGGAAGGGCAGCAGGAATATGCAGAATTCGGACATATGCAGAGGAGAAGATTCACTGATTTTGGTGTGTGGAATTTTTACTGCTTAGCTTTCTGGGTTGAATGAAAATTTTGATTATAATTCTGGCTTTCTAATCTTGTATATTATTTTGCCTCTATTTCATAATCGAGGTCATTTATATTGTTGGTTTATTAGTATCCTCTTGTTAAATTGCAAAATGATTGGGAAGCTTCATTGTGTCTGTAAGCAGACCTGAGATTCGGAAATTGGTTTATTATGGAAAAGTTAAGAACTGAATATACACAAGTAGTTGAAAAGGAATGTTCTATTTTGCGAATTCAACTGACTTGACTCTCTGTTCGTCATCACACTGGGTGCTCCATCTTTATCTTAATTGTGCTCAGAGTGAAAACATGACCTGCTAGGCTTTTTTGTACAGTCTTCAATTGACTTAGAGATTTGAGTGTCTTC